GCAGACCATTGAGAAGCTAGTTCAGTACTTCAGCATAGTGTTTATGGAGTGACCTCTGTTTCCCTTCTTCGTTTTTAGATACCACGTGTATCCAACTTGCAGGAATACATCTGGGATTCTTGGCTTCTCTGTTACTGTAGCAACGCAGGCAACCAAATACAAGTGAGTGACATGTTTTTAAATGTTTATTGGAAAAGGTCACTGTTTCCATCATGGGAACCTGTAAACGTAATGGTTCTTCAGTGGTGTACCAGCATCCTCTTATGTATGCACCCAAAATATTCTCTTATGTGGCCTGCCTCCGTATATCTTCTGCTATAGTCAGCCACTAGTTCCTAGTACTTTAGGGCTAAAGAAAATTAATAGATAAGTCACCATCAGTGCAATCCTATGCAGCTGTTCCAAGTCCATAGACTAGGCTCAGACTGCTATAACACTGCATAGGATTGCAGTGTAAGTATCTGCTTGTGTACTTGCTTTGAAAGTGTGAGAAACTGGCTTTTCCAGCAAGCACAAAACAGTACTGAACATACTAGCATTTGTACTAGAAGAGGAGATTTGAAATGGCACATTAGTGAGCTCATTTAATTTGTTAGTGAAGTGCTGTTCTTAGCTTGCATGGAGACTTACAGATCAAAGGTCGCAACTCAGTTTTCTCTTATAGAGCAAATACTTAAATTAGACCTCTGATGATGACAAAATTGTGTTCAAAATTAATCTTTTAAATACCTGAGGACTACTTTCTTACCAGGCTTATATTTTTAAGAGTCAAATTGCTGTTTCTGAACCCTAGACAGCTGCAGCAATGAGAAGTAAAAAATTGAGCATAATTCAATTATTTTTTACAGCTCTGAACTAGTGGATAGGAAGATAGAAGAATTTCTTTCATGCTTTGAGGAAAAACTGAAGCAGTTGACAGAGGAAGCTTTCAATACACAGGTAAGGGAATTTCAAAGACTATAATTTTCTTATTAGCTTATTAGAAATGTGTGATGTACACCTGTAATAAAAGAAAGGTATGATTGAATCACCAGTTTTACTAATCCTGAAACTAGTAATTTCCTAGCCTTTGATTTGTACGAACATTAATGGAGACTAGGATTGCATTGTGTGGCTTTTAGACTCAAGGTCTTGTTGAGATGAGAGAAGTCACACAGATTACTTGTTTATATATCATGCAGAAAATCTCAAGAACCCTGTCACTGCCTTCTTCTGCCAATCAGTATGAATAATGACTGGAAGAACTGAAGGCAGCGAATAAGGTCACTAAGCTTCCAAGAGTTCCACATTCTGTTTGAGCTGCAATTATTGTTGAATAAATAATTTAGAAGCATCCAGTTAGATCTGGCCCTCCTTCAAGCTTCTTCCTGACTAATCCCTTCAAGTTTTGAGAAGTTTTCTCTTAAATTAAATGTCAGCATGTTGGACGTCGGGGCAATTTCCCCATCATAATATCATTGTAGTCACTGTTTCCAGCTGATATAACAGAACTTACATCTTGTCTTAGGTTCTGAGCACCACTCAGGATCAAATACAGGGTAACCTCCCCTCGAGTTGTTCTATAGCCTGTACCTTTATGTATTTGTCTTAATGTTCTCCCTTTTATAATGCCAATAAAGGTAAACTAACTAGCTTTAAACTATAACCTGTTCCAAAGCACAACCATTTATTAGAAATGTTGTCTATTACAGCCTGAACACTTAGTCAATATGAGGACAGTTGATGACATCCACTGTTACACCACTTTTTTTGTTCAGTTGCCTCCCTTACCTTTTTTGTTCTCCAGCTCAAGATCACCATCAGAGTTCTGGTCATGTAAGCAATAGGTACATCTACAGAACTAGTTATAACAATTCTATGGACGAGTTTGTTTCTATTAAATTTTCTATCTTAATGAGCCTTTGTGTCCTCTTTGAGAGTAGAGGGAACCCCCATGTTGATCCCACAGATTTTATAGCCAGGATAATCCTATTTTGTTGATTTCCCCCCATTCTATCAAGTTTCTAACATAACCACTGTACTAGTATTCTGATTTAGCATCAAGCAGTCCTGTTCTCTCACTTTGGATCATTATAGCCTTTCAGAATTTGACTCTAAATGCCTATTTCCCTCTCCAAGCACCGTTTCTGTGCTCCTGTGACCTTTTTAGTCTCCTTCTGCATGCTTGTCAGTTTCTGCCCCGCCCTAATTAGATGACACTCCATAGCCACTTAATGTCCCCAAGTTTTGTCTGCTTTCCTCCAGAAATTGTTAATAGCTGCTCTACAACCTATTTGATAGAAGTGTCAGCAGTCTGGTTCTGTTATAATTCATGTGGAGCCCAGTGTTTTGTACAGGGTTGGTTTGTCGCCAAATGCCTTACAAACCTAAACCTGTTCTTCTGATGCTATCTGTCAAAGTATTTGGACATCTTGGACTTCTGTCTCTTGTTCCTTCTTGTGCTAGACACTACTGTGCAATTCAGTGAATGTAGTCTAGATAGAAAAAGAACTTGTGATCTCTTAACCTTTTGACAGAGGCCGTACTGTTTACATTTAACAAACTCTGGTTTGGTATTTACTTGGGATTCTAGCTTCCTCATCGACATGTGTGCTTTGATTTCCTCCTCTACTTTCCTGTGTTACAGCAAACTAGAATCGGCAACCAGTTTGTGGTTTGAACTCCAGTTTGTGCAGTATGGTTTACTGTGGGTTGAAGGAACTAGAGCATAAGTTCATCTTCTGTCTTCAGTACAGCCTCACATTGACTTTTCCTGCCTAAACTGTCATGTGCTCTGGAGGTGGGGTGCTCCCTTTCCCTCAGTTCCTTTTTCACTGCTGTGTGGATAGGAGCTTCTGAACTTAGCTGCTCCATTTGATTGTTTTCTTCAACGAATTTTTGGTCCTTTCCCCTGAAGTCCTTCACCCTTTTCTTTTTCCCTCAAAGAGACTTCATCCTGACCGAGTGAGGTAACTCTCATTGGCCTACCCTTAGTCTTCCTTCCTTGTTGCTTGTGGTCCTGCAATGGCGTCCAAGGCACTTTTCCAAAAAACGCACAAAATGTGCCACAAAGATAACCCACAGCCAGTGAGCATGAGATTTGCCAGGGCTTTACCCATAAGGCTTCCTCAGATAGAGTGTCCCATTTGAAGGCCTCCCTACAGGAAAAGGCATTATCATCCTTGGGCCTGTCTAAGTCAGTTCCAGTATTGGAACCTTCAAAACCGCATCCTTTGAACTGGTCTACGTCTTCAGTTACAGCACCGGCGTCTCATTCCAGACCATCCTCTGTTCAAATGGTACTGACACCCAAGCAAACTCCGTGCCTGGTTAAGAGGGCCTCATTGGTCCCCATCCCTATCGACCAGGGTCTGCTGTTCATTGGAACCTCCTTTTAAAAAACAAAAGAAAACAAGGCATAAAGAATGGTTCAGTCAAGCAGCGTAGGCATCCATTGTCTTCACACTGGCAGCCCCCAGAGGAGCAGGATGTGATTTTGGTGCCTCCACGTACTCCATCACCTCACTTTGGTTCCCCAGCTGTTTCCTTGTTTGGTTCTGAGGAGGAACACTATAGCATCCGTGCAGGCCAGCACGCTAGAGCTGATCCACTCATGCCCTCGTCATGGCAACAAACGGCCGTGACTCAGTGGTCCGAGCACTGCCTGCAGCAGCCCCAGGTTGTATCTCCCCCACCACTGGAGTTTGGTCACGACTCAGGGAATCCTGGGTATTTGGAAGCACGTTCTCCATTCACTCCACCTGATGTAGATCTGGAGGAAGTAGGGACTGTTGCATTCCAGTACAGTTCTGGGAGTGCATTGGAACTGTCTCCCAGGATCTGAGGCTGTACAGCGAACAGATCCTCAGGATGGCTAAGGCTCTTGACATTGATGTCTCCATGTCTGACAATCAACCAAAAGATAAATTTTTGAGTGGTCCATACCCAGACTTGATGGGCATTGTGGCATTTAGATCTGGAGGAAGTAGGGACTGTTGCATTCCAGTACAGTTCTGGGAGTGCATTGGAACTGTCTCCCAGGATCTGAGGCTGTACAGCGAACAGATCCTCAGGATGGCTAAGGCTCTTGACATTGATGTCTCCATGTCTGACAATCAACCAAAAGATAAATTTTTGAGTGGTCCATACCCAGACTTGATGGGTATTGTGGCATTTCCCATTTTGGAAGGTCTTACTGACTTGATGGTACCCATTTGGCAGAAGCCTGCTTCCACTCCAGCTGCTTCCCAGAGAGCGGAATGTTTATGTAAGATCAAGCAGGACTCATGTGAGTACATCCACCCCCTTCCTCATTAGTTACTGCAGACATGCAGGTGCAGCACAAGTCTGGTCAGCTTTCCTCTACTTCCAATAGAGTGGATGTTTGGATTCATTGGGCAGAAAATTGTACTCATCTGAAGCCCTGAACTTCAGGATCATGGCTTAGCAGACCATTATGGGTGGCTACCAACTCTTCCTATGAGAGAATCTGTCACAGCACTTGAAAACTTTCCCTGAACAGCCACAGTCCTCAGCTAAATTGATCCAATCTGAGGCCATTAGACTTTCCAAAGAAATGGAATGCCATACCAGTATCCTCACAGTCAGTACCATCCACCCTCCTTCCAAAGGAGGAAGAGTTCCCAGAAGCCCAGATCTGTGGGTCAGCAGCCTCCTTCAGAGAGCCAGCACAAAAGTTCTGACAAACTCTTCAGATGCCTAAGGTTCCCATGTTTGAGGAGGATAGGTTGGCCTGTTTTTATGAGGCATGGTGTTCTATTTGTTGATGTCTGGGTTCTTTCAATAGTTCATGATGGTTATTTCCTGGAGTTTATCTCTCTCCCCCTGTGCCTCCCTGCATTAGTGGTGTTAGATAACCCAGAACTCAGAGTTCAGCTGAATGCAGAAGGGGGTGGTTGAGAGGGTTCCCTTGGTTCAGGAGGTTTCTACTCTGCATTCTTCCTAGTGAACAAAATAAATGGTGACTGCCAGCCAATCCTGGAGTCAAGAAAACTAAACAAGTTTTTGAAAGTTTTGAAATTTAGAATGGTCACTTTTTCATCTGTAATCAAGCTCCTCACCCCCAACTCCTGGTTTGCTATTTTGGACCTTAAGAGCGCTTACTTTCATATTTCCATTCATCCCTCACGCAGGAAATACCTTTGCTTTAGATAAGGTTCAGAAAATTTCCAGTGTGCAGCTGTGTTTTGGGCTCGCCACCCCCCCTAGGGTCTTTACCAAGGGGATGGCAGTGGTTGTGGCTTATTTGAGGACAAGCGGTTGCACCATCTTCCCCTATTTGGATGATTGGCTAGTCATGGCCCACTCACCGGTACGCCTTAAAGCACATTTGAATATTATCCTCCCCATCAATTGGGACAAGTCTCACCAAGTTCAGTTCATTGAAGCATCCTTAGATTCCTTGCAAGAGTGAGTCTTCTTACCCTCGGAGATGAGTAAGTCTATCAAGGCTATGGCACAGGCTTTCCTGTGGAAGATGTGGCAATCAGTTAAGGTTATCTAGCGCTTTCCACCACGGCAGTCTTTTTTTTTTGTCAGATTACACATGAGGAGTTTCTAGCTGTGGTTTCTTAGAAGCTTCAATCCTTCCAGGCACCTGCTTGGACAGTGCTTCTCCATTATGAAATCCCTTACTTGATGGGCAGTGGATGCCAATCTTTTCGTTGGGAGTCCCATTTGGGGCTTAGGTTCCCCAAATCACCCTCCGTATCAATGCTTCCTTGGTAGGATGGGGCACACATTGTGAAGGGTTTTCAGTTCAGGGCAAGTGGTTGGAGCCCAGTAGCAGTCTTCACATTGCGCTGTGTGTGGTCAGGTTCGCCCTTACCTCCTTTGCAGATATCCTCTGGGGCAAGGGAGTGCTCATTCAGACAATGCATCCATGATGTATTATCTCAACAAGCAGGGGGGCCAAAGGGTTCTGGAGGTTGTGCATGGAAGCCTTGGTGGTCTGGGGGTGAGTCATATAGCAGGGGCTCTGAATACTAAAATCAACAACCTGAGAAGGGTTTATCTCATCAACTACAAATGATCAATTCAATTCAAGGACCTCTAAACAGTTTTCGAGCAGTGGAGTACCCCTCAAGTAGACCTGCTTACCATGTCCAAGACAAGAATGGCACTGCAATTTTGCTCTCTTGTGGTCAGCAATCCAGCTTTGCTGGGGGATACTTTTCAGATCCTGTGGTTGGGGACACTGTTTTACACCTTCCCTTCCTTTACCCTCCTGAGCAGGGCCATAGGAAAGTTAGTAACAGAAGGTTTGGACTGCATCCTAATAGCCCCCTTTCGGCCATGTGAAATTTGGTTCTCTGAACTGCTCTGTTTGGCAGGGTCAGACTACATCACCTTCCCACCGGTCCTGGATTTATTGGTGTGGGGACCTATTCTGTACCACGATGTGGCTCACCTGCATCATACAGCATGGAAGATATGGCCATAAGGTCTTTCTTCTCCCCTGAAGTATGTGATATCCTAATTCAGGCTAGAAAGTCCTCTACTAGGTTTTCCTACTCAAGAAAGTGTGTTCTGTTCGAGATATGGGCCTGGTCTAAAGGGTTGCCACCCTTTACAACCCCTTACCTATGGTTTTGGAATATCTGCTTTCCCTGTCTTTTGAGGGGTTAGCTGTATCCTCAAGGTGCACCTAGTGGCCATTTCTGCTTATCATAAGGGTGTAGAGGGCTCTTACCTGTTTTCCCATAAGCTGTTGCAGTGTTTCCTTAAGGGTCTACTTAATGTGTTCCTTGCACACCTCATATTCTGCCTCAGTGGTTTCTGTCCCTGGTTTTAGCCCAATTAATGAAGCAGCCCTTGGCTTTGTGCCCTCCGGCCTTGCTCTCTAGGAAGGTAGACTTCCTTGTATGTTGGCCAGGAGAGTTGAGCGAGTTAGCAGCCCTGAGGATACACCTTCCGTTCTTTAAAGTTTTTAATGAAAGGGCAGTACTTCACCCTAATTTATGCTTTCTGAGTTTCACCTGGCACAGGAGATAGTCCTGCCAGTATTTTTTCAACCTTCAGAATCTAGGGCCAAGAAAGCTCTTCACCATCTGAATGTCAGGAGGGCTTTTGTTATACTACTTTGAGAGGACAAAGCTGTTCCAGATGGACAAGGCCTTGTTTGCTACTGGGGTCCAAAGAAAGGGAGGGCTGTCTCTTCCCAGTCCCTCTCTAAGTAGGTCATAGCCGCCATCCGTTCCTGTTATGAGGCAGCTGGGCGATGGTGTCCATTGGATATCAAGGTGCATTCCACAGGCGAGCTCCCTCAGTGGACATCTATAAAGCTGTGACATGGTCAACAGAAGACTAGTTTGTCAAGCATTACACACTGGATCTGCGAGCGAGGAAGGATGCAGATGTGGGCAAGTCAGTTCTCCTGTCACTTTTTCAGTGAGAGCCTCAACCTGCCTCCCTTGGTGAGTCGCTTGCAAATGTCCCAGTGTGGGGCTGCACTGAAGACAGAAGATGAAAACAGAGTTGCATTTACCTGTAACTGTTTTTCATCGATATCTTCTGTGCAGACACACAATCCCCTCTCTCCTGCTGTGCTGTGAGCTCTCACTTCCTGTGCTTAACGAGGCGCTAATGGTGGCTGGGTAGGAGCTGAGGGAAAGGGGATGTTCCTCCTCCAGAGCATGTGGTGGCTTAGGTGGGAAAAGCCACTTGTGTCAGCTCCAAAGGGGGAGGGCGACCCCTTGGAGTTTCAGATGGTTAAAAATCTATCCACAGCTGGTCTGCATAAGCACAATCCCAATGTATAGCTGCACAGAAGTCGCTGATGAACTACAGTTACAGGTAACCAGTGTTCCTTCTATGCTGAGTTGGTGTGAGCTAGCTCACCGTTTTTTAGCCTCCGGCTCACACATTGTTGTCCCAGCACAGGAAGGATGGCTCCAGAGCAAACTAATTCATGCAGCAGCCAAATCGCTTGCTCACAACTTTAATGCCAGTAGCTCACAAAGTGGAATCTTTGCTCACGAGACTCCACAGCTTAGAGGGAGCGATGCAGGTAACTTCCAGAGAGAAGCATAAATCTAAGCCATGGTTTCATATTATGAATGAAGTAACTCACTGACAGTGACAAAATGTATTTTCTTCCCTCAGGTCACAGCTCTTATTAAATTAAAAGAATGCGAAGATTCCCATCTGGGTGAGGAGGTGGATAGGAATTGGACAGAAGTAGTGACTCAGCAATATTTGTTTGACAGACTAGTCCGGGAGGTAAGAAAGAATGTAAAAGAATGCAGAATTCTTTGTGTCCTGATTTTTCAATCTTAGATTCCCTTGAGCTCTAGAAACGTAAAATGTGGGGCCCCAGAAACTGTACATTATTGACCATATATAATATTGCTAATTTCTAGAAGTCTCTAACTATGGTAGAGGGATAAGGAACAATGTAATGTCACCTGGCAATCAACATAACTCTGTTTTGCTTTTAAGAAAGATAGAGTGACGAAAAAATCCAGTACACAACCCCATCTGCTGGCCAGTATAGGCTACAGCAGATACATACAGGGGAAGTGATACGTGTACATTACTCTCACACCAAAGAGTATTGGTCCAAAATTATGTGTGCCATAAGCCAATCCTTGTCACATTACCCACCAAGGGCATAATTTAAGTATGTCGCTAAAATGGTTAAATGATGTTCTTGGAAGGGCACAATGGCCACTTCCAGTTGGCCAAGATCGATTTTGGAATTACTAATGCTTAAATCATTCTGTTCTCACAACTCCAATAGGTAGGTTAGGGAGAATGTGCAACTGGCCCAGTGTCACCCAGCAACCTTCTGCCACAGAGTAGGGATTTAAACGTAGGTCTCCCAGATTCTAGTCAGACACTCTAGTCTCCACATCATGCTGCCTGTCTTGACTTGCCCATGTTACATTTATTTTATTTACCTCACTTCTCTGCTTGCCTTGATGAGACTCAAAGTGGGTTACTAATATGACATATAAGAGTACCCCTTCCCCACTGAACAGAAACCTGGCAGTTGAATGTACTCTGAAAGCAAAGCATACATTTAACATAGATGGATTTAACATAGCCTATATTTGCCCCTTAAGGGGGTGCGTGAGATATTTGCATGCCAGGTTGTTAGAAATCTCACTGTCAATATCTGAAAAAAGGGCATGTTGGTTACCAAAAGTGTCATCTTTTTGTTGCTGTTCTGTCCTTCTAGTGATTTATTAAACTGTATAGCTAGTAATGTAATCTGTTTCAAGCCATGGAATCCTATTGCTTATCCCCGGTATAATTTTCTGACTGGTCTCACATAATAGTTATTTTGTGGAGTCTTGTACAACCTCCTGTAGATCACTCCACTTCTCATAGGCAACTCTAATTGCAGTCTGGGGGTTCACCTAAGACAAATTCCTATTTTCTCTGTAGTTGTTCCCTTTGGCAAGCTGTTGAAAAAATCTTTGTGGTATTACCAGAATCATATATTTTAACAAGGCTACTGCTACATGTAGGTCAAACTAATCATTCCCATAGTTTATGCATTAAAGGAAGGAAATGGTTTGAGAACTAATTTCTATTACTAGCCTGTGAATTTTGAGCTAAGTAATACTTTTGTTTTTAGATTGAAGCTCTCAAATCCCTCTCTCGATCAGAACTAGTTGATTGGTTCCTAATACACAGAGGCAAAGAGAGGAAAGTACTGAGTGTACATGTAAGTATTTGTAGAAATCATTGTACCTTTTTGAAAAGAATATTCAGCTTAAATTTGTGTTAATTACAATTGTTCTTGAACCTAACATTTGTTCTGTATTGCAGAAATATGCTGGTCTTACAGTCACAGCTGTGATCACTTCATGTCTTATACTACTATCCTAAACAGAGTTATACTTTTCTAAATCAATGAGCTTAGAAGGACGTAACTCTTCTTAGGTTTTGCACTGTCAAAAGGGGAAAAACGACTCCAAGTACGTTCAGCGTAGAAGGGAAGGGACGTAACTCTTCTTAGGTTTTGCACTGTTAAAAGGGGGAAAAATCCATTAGTAGTATTAATGTGTATCATGATTTAGGGTATCAATTTGGGATTATTAATGGTATCAAGGTGCTAAGGGCAGTTACCAGTTTACTGCAAAGGTTACATCTTGATGACTTTGTTTTAACATTGCAGGTGGTTGGATTTGGAAAACACGAAGGCGATGCAGACACTTCAGCCCCTCCAAGTATTCACAGTCCCTCTTGCAGTGAAATACCTCACCTTTCTTTCATGGATGCTGTTTCTTTGACTGATGTTACTTGTATCAAGGACATCAAAGTGTATACATCAGCTCTCAATGTTCTTCCATACCATAAGATATTAAAGTAACTCTTCAGACTGCCATAGAAGGTTTAGTACAGCTTCACTACAGCATACTTGGAGTGGTTCAGCAAAACACCTTTTAAAAAACTAACCACTGCCTTAAGTAACATTGGTTTAGGTCTCTGGTTTACCATGCTTACTGAAAAATGTGTAACTGAATACCTGCTACATTAAATAATCAAACACAAGCATTTTTTAAAAAGAAGCAAGGTATGCATAAGTAGGAATGTTCTTGGTAAATAGTAGAAAGATGCAACAGAGGAGGATTAAAAAGCTGCATAAAGAACTAAATCTGCCAGCAACCTGACTTGGGTGGACACGCATGTATGGACAAGACTATCTTGGGCATGGCAGGCTTCAGCTTATTTGTGTGTGTCATTTTAGGTTAAGGCAGCGTTTTAAACTTTCTCCAGAAAATGCTATTGGACTAAAAAATTAATAAGCTGTCTATATGTAATAATTTACCACTCAGAACATTACAGGTGATAGAAAGGGTGCCTGAGATCATCACAGGCATCATCTGCATAAGGAAGTTCAATATAAGTGCTCCAAGAGCTATCATGTGCAATAAATTAAGAGTTGTTGGTCTTTTTTGTGTGTAGGTTGTTACACTGTAGAGGCTATAAAAAGAAATCTACCTCTTAAATAACTTCAGCCCTCGTGGTTATAGCTTAGAAGAGCCCCATGTGTTTTATTCACTAAAGCAAGTATTCAAATGGGGATTTGACTGTCACTTTCAACAGGCCTGCACTGAGATTCACAGATACATGCTTCCCTTTTAAAGCACAACGAGACTTAAATCAAAACAACCAAACATGAGTTTCTGCAGCCTTTCACGCTTTTCTTGGAGAAGCATCTGGGCAATCAGAGCATACCATTAGTCATTCTATGTAGTCATATAACAATGAACAAATTTTGGGATCAGTTTTGCTAGGTGGAGAAGCATCTGGGCAATCAGAGCATACTATTAGTCATTCTATGTGATCAGTTTTCTATGGGATCAGTTTTGCTAGAAGGGGTCCTAAGCTTTCATAGGACAGTTCTTTCAGCATACATCAGTGATTGCATCTATTGTTCCCTATTAGAAACCCAGTGATTAAAGCTTACTGTATGTGTCTTTAATTTGTAGGCACAGAAATGGTAGGAAACATCAGAGCTTCATACTTCTCCCAGGAGAGACCACAGAACTTAATTATAACCCTTTTTATAGACACAGTCTTTGTATTTTCTTGGACATAATTCTGCAGGGAGAAATATGCATGAAGTACATCAAGATTTTTTTTTTGGAGGGGGTGTATTTCAAGTATGCTTCTTTGTTTCAGTGTGCGCTGTCTTATTCTTATTCCTAACAGGTTCTAGGCTAGATTGATCACATTAACTTCAACTTCATACAGCGAATTTTTTATCACTGTCCATTAGCACCATATGACATAAGGAGAAAATGGCAGAGAGAACAAAGTTGGTTTAAAATGCCAACTAACTAGAAACTTAACAGCTACAATAAAATAGAACAGAATTATGTACGAATTAATGCTTTCTCTCTGTGTGACAGTCATGTGAGTTCCCATGGGCATTAGTACTCTAGCAGTTTTTAAAATAGTGGTGTTTGGAAGCTTGCATTAAAATTACGGCTATAAGACTGAAGGTTTCTTTTTGCTTCTTTATGTAACAGAAGCATATTGTCTCAGCTATCAAATTAGTATTCTCCTTATTTAGCAGAATAAATACCATTTTAAGTGTTGCTGTTTCAAAGCATTCTTGCTATAAAATATTTACTCTGAAATAAAACAATGCATACATTTTAAAATTATTTTATGAAGCATTAATAGATGCACCAGCTAGAACCAAATGTTTACCTATCATTTACATTTTAGGCTCTAAAAATACCCGAGTTATTTTAGGGAAACACTGAAATGTCAAAAGAATTTTCTTTGTAAAATAGTAGTTGGTAATTAGTACATAGCGTGTTCTAATCTGCCAGAACAAATTTTCATATATACATAGAACTTAACTGGCTCTAATGAAATGAAGCCATTATGGAGTGTGCCAGAGTGATATGTATCTGGCATCCAATGCCCTTTTGCACCTTTACAGCAGTTATCAGAATGAGCATGATGGGGCTTGAGCCCAGGTTTTATTAATTCTCCTAAAGCATGGGAGGTCAGACAGGAAAGGCCAATATAAATTACTGCTACACAGTCAAGGCTCTTCCTGTTTTAATTGTTCGCTGCATCAGTAAATCCAGTATCCCTGAGAGAGGAACAACTGTAACTGGAGAAGACAGGCCCTCCAAAAGAAGAGTACTTGAAAGTTACAACTACAACCACTAAGTCAAGGCTTGAACTTCATAGGCATGGCCCCTTTAATATTTACTGGCAGCAAGTCGCTTGAGTAGTGGTTCATCATAAACCCAGCATTCTCCATCTTCATGGAACAGCTGTAAGAGAAAAGTGTACTCAGTGTCATAGCAATAGGAAGAGCTACTTACAAAGGGTTTGTTTGTTTAATCAGCCTTACCCTTGTCTCCCATGGAATTTCTTTCTCTTTCCTGGCTCGGGCTTCAGCTCTTTGTCTTTCTTCAAGCCTGTGCTTAGCTTCAGTAGCTGCATCAATGTCTCTGATTTTTAAGTTGTATGTTACATCTTTCCATAGGCTAGAGAGAGAAAAAATACATTTAGATGAAACTGCAGAAAAAATTACAAGAGACTGCAGGTTCCTACTGTGAATTGACTATGCTCATCCAAACAAGTTAAAAAATGGCTCAGCCAAAAAGCAACATGTGGATAAAAGGTGGTTAGTTTGCAAAGTTGGTTTTTGATGTTTCCAACCTCCTACAAATGTAAAAGACTGGCTTACCTCATGTTTACTGTTCATGCACTGTAATACTTCACATATAAAATAAATATATTAAATATAGGGAGACATTGTGAAATACAGGAAATGTGTATGCCCCGTTATGTTTCTACGCAGGAAACGGAAGATTTGTTTCACTTACTGTGAATCTTCCTTCTTGGTGGACCAGGGGTTGTCCCACCCCTGGTCCACCAAGAAGGAAGATTCACAGTCTTCACTTCTGGGAAAGTAGCTCCTCCTCTCTGCAGGCAGGGTTGTCATCTTTGCAATCCCAGAAGGGAGGGGCTTATCCCAGAACTCTCCAGTGTGTTTCCAAGCTATGACTCTCCCTCTTCATAACAACCAGCAACTCAGAAAAAACATTAGGAAAACTTTCCTAAGGAATAACCAGAACTAACTACAACAAAAGGGAAATTTCTCCAGTTCTAAAGAATAGGGGAGATGGTCCCAACCACTCCCTAGCTTACAGGCCCTCCAGATAGAAAGTGACAAGGAAAAAGGAACCTAAATTCCACCAGCAGACCCTCTTAGCACTGGGAGCCCATACCAGAGGAAAAAACCTCGGGTGGGTAAGACTGCCCCACCCCTAGACCACTGAGAAGGAAGATTCACGGTAAGTGAAACAAATCTTCCGTTCTCCAGTGGTCCTAGGGGCGAGGCAGTCTTCACTACTGCCTCACAGATGCGCCATTTGATCTGGTGGTGTGACAGTTCAGCAACGGATTTTATATGCACGATCACACAGTCAACATCTGCCTCCTGTCCCCAGCTGTTGGTTTCCGGCTCAAAACCGTTTTAACCTGAAGTATTTTGTTACCAGGTCCCAAAGTGGTGTTTTCTCAGCTCTCCCGTTTAAAGCTGCATTTTCCCCGTGTGATCGCTCCTCCGGTGTCAAGCCACTTCTGGTTTAAACCCCCGCTCGAAAGCTGCCCGAGGCTTCAGCTTTTCGCCCACCATTTTTTGGTGTGTGTCGGTGGTGCGCGCATAGGCAGAGCTCCGCTACCGTGTTTAGAAAACCAACATTTAAACGGTCACTTGTTTTAGAGTTTAGATGAGTTCGGGATTTCATGGAGGCCATTTTCGGGTCAAACGTTTAAAGGGAAGTCTTTTGTTGGAGGGGTTGGATTGATTTGCCCTGGTGGTTCTGCGCATGTGCCATGGTAGTTTTGCCCCCCATTCTACGGTGAGCGCCTATGTGCAAACTGAGAAAAAAAATTTAAAACCCTGCCGACACATGCTCCCATCGTCGGTAGTGTAGACACCGGGGAGTGACGTGACTGTGCAGTGAGGCGGGATAAGGGAGGTAAGTGTGATCGTAATTATCCAGATCAAATATAATCCGGTTAGAACCGTAGCAGTTTAACCCGCTCTCAGCACGCCGTCTGACTGCACCCTTTGAGTACTAAGTTCAAGCTCCAGGTTGAGAAGCAGTGAACCTGGGGACGATTTAACAAGAAAGTACCCCTGAGGAATCTCCTAATGTGAGGGGGCAAGGATTTCCCTTTCCTGGTACTCCTAATGGCTGAATAAATCTGCCACCCATCTTTTGAGTGTACTGGTGCCGAGCCCTTTGTCTACACCCTCGTGCAGGAAAGAGAGTGCCTCGGGTCTATTCTTTGTTTTAGGCCCCAGGCCTGAAACACCTGCTGGGTGTTCTTGTAGACCCCATATGTAGAGCCTTTGCTGGAGGCTAGCATCCCTTCAATATCCTATCTCTGCAAGTTGTGCTCAACCTCCAGGCTGTTAGGTTTAGGAGTCCCTGTTGAGGATGATTTATTGGTCCTTGCAGAAGATGCCAATGGTTCTTGGAGGAAAGCCTCATCAGATCCTGAAACCACGACCTCTGTATTGAGGGGGAAAGCATTCAATAGCTGATTTGGCCTCTCACAGTTTAGGGCATCTACCCTGATGGCTTGAGGTGACCTTGTTCCTGCCATGAACTTTGGAACTTGGTAATTTTGATCGGTGGCAAAGAGATCCACTTCTGCCTTGCTAAAACTGAGACAAATCTGATGAAAAATCTTGTTCAACCTCTACTCTGATTGGTTCTTCAACTCCGCCAATCCACAAGAGTTGTCCTGTCCTGTTCCATGCACCACTTTTAAGAACTTCTTATGACTCTCTGCCCGATGCATTAAAGTCTCTGCCTTCTCATGAAGGGACTGTATCTGGTCTCCCCATGTCTGTTCACATAGCCTTTGGCTATCATATTGTCTATATGCGCCAGGACATGAAGTCCTGAAAGGAGATCCTGGAATGCCAATAGTCCTGACCTTATAGTTCTGAATTCCAGTAGACTGATGCTGTTGGCAGCATTCTGTTGACCAGGTGCTCTGCAGCCAGTTTGGTGTAGTGGTTAAGTGAGCAGACTCCAATCTGGGAGAACTGGGTTTGATTCCCCATTCCTCCACTTGCACCTGGCTGGATGACCTTGGGCAAGCCGTAGTTCTGATAAGAGCTGTTCTTGAAAAAGACCAGTTTCTGTCAAGAGCTCTCTCAGCCCCACCTACCTCACAGGGTGTCTGCTGTGGGGAGGGGAAGGGAAAGGAGTTTGTAAGCCGCTCTGAGACACCGCTCTGAGACACCTAGTCAAAGGCGGGGTATAAATCCAATCTCCTCTTCTTCCCTTGCACATGCCCCCCCCCCCAATCCGTAGATACCCACATCCATTGTCATCAGGGTTCTTGGTTCCCTTAGGGGAATCCCTTCCTGGAACCTGGAGGGAACAGTCCACCTGCTGAGCTTATGTTTTGGGTGTCCATGTAACAGCAGAAGTTTGAACCCCTTGGTGGCAATTATGTCTTGGTATGGGAGCAGGAACCCCTGGAGTGGATGGGTGTGAAAACTAGACCACTGCAGAACATTCTGGCAAGATATCATCATCCCTGGTTGTCTTGCCAGGGATCACGTCTGCTGTGGAATTCTGAAGGACTTCGCCAACTGTTTGAATCTTCTGTCTCTCTGATGACAGGAAAACTGTGTCTTGGGCAGTGTCTACTAACACCACTAGGTGGAGTATATTCTATGTCGGGTGTAGATTGCTCTTTTCCCGGATGACCAGGAAAACGAGTTCCTGAAGACAAGACGCTGTCTGGTTCACATTTTCCATACGTCACTGGAATAAGAGTGCCTTGATTAAGAGGTCTTACAGGAAATAAAAGGTGACACCCCCCTATGTCCCTCAGATGTGCTACAGGTGCTACCAGAACCTTGGTAAATATTTATTTATTTATATTTACGTTTATACCCCGCCCACCCTGTAAACAAGCTCTGGGCAGCTTACAGAAGACGGCCAACAGGCCGATACAAATAAAACAATAAAAATATTAAAATCCCTTAAAAACAATATTAACAATAAAGTGCTCGCTACATCAGAGTAACCTTAAGATGAATGGTTTGTGTCTGCATTCCTTCTGTCTTCGGGTCTTAAAATCAGTCCCGTGGTCCAGATGTTCTTTGGCACTGATTTTAACTTGAATGGAAAAACCTGGTACTGGGAGTGCCTCCCATCACAAGCAAATCTCAGCTACCTTCAATGGGCTTCTCGGATAGGGTTATGCAAATAGGCCTCTGAGAGGTCTATTGATGCCAAGAAGTCTCCAATCTGAAAGGATACTACAATTGACCTGAGGGTTTCCATTCTGAATCTCTTGGTCCTAATGTGACTGTTCAGCCATTTGAGGTCCAGAATGGCCCTGAAATCCTCATTTTTCTTTGGTACTATGAAATAACTGAGTAGACTCCCAATGTCCTTTGTGCTTCTGGCACTGGTTCTGTCGCCCCAATTCCCAGCAGGTGTTGAATGGCCTTCTGGAGCAATGTTCCCTCTAAGCTGTGGAGTCTTGTGAGCAAAAACTCTACTTTGTGAGCGACTGGCATTAAAGTTGTGAGCGAGTGATTTGTCTACTGCATAAATTAGTTTGCTCTGGAGCCATCCTTCGTGAGCTAAGACAAAAATGTGTGAGCCGGAGGCTAAAAAACTGTGAGCTAGCTCACCCTAACTCAGCTTAGAGGGAACACTGTTCTGGAGATACTTCTGGTTGGAACAATTTCTTGGTACCCAAATAAAACAATTGAGTGGAATCAAACTCTATTCAAGGGAATAGCCGTTTGAGACTGTGTCCAGACCCACTTGTCGTTTGCAGTGTGTTACCAGTAAGCTGTAAGTAGCTGCAGATGACCTCTGACTCTTGGGGTGGCTGAAGTATTGGCATAATCATGTTGAATAACCCTTCTAAGCATCCCTTGGTATTCTGTCCAGACTTGATAAAGAAGGTAGTTCTGTTACTGCATTGCTGCTTGAGCTGCTAACTCCGTTTGAAGGGCCTGGAAGAACTGGCCCCTGAAGGTCACTTGGACTCTCGAAGAGAAGTGTTTCCTAGACTGTCTTCCTTCCTGAACAGCAATACTTTCCCTTGTCTTTACAGTCCATGAGGCACTTACCCATGCCTTCACCAAATAGGTTGGCACCCTTGAACGGAACACTGGCCACCCTGGCCTGTGCCAAGGGATCCACCTCCAGAGCCAGGTATTACGTCTGGCTGATAGCTGGATGTCATCCAAGGAAGCATCTGCCGCCAATGCTGTTGTGAAAGCATTTTTATTTTATATTATGTTATTTAGTTCCTTGGGATGCTGTCTGCTGCTGTGAGATCAGATGCCCAGGAATAAGCAGCTCTAGTGGACAGGGAACATGACATAGAAGCTGTCAACACTGCTGAGGAAGCTTCAAATTCCTTGCATAGAGCCTACTCTACAAGGGTCCCTGGAAAAACCACTCACCCCACTGGAACTGCTGACTTTGAGCATAAATCTAGACTAATTAGACATGTAGAAAATATCTCAATGGGAGAACATTATGTTAGTACTGGGTATAATGTGGACAACACGAAGTTTGGAGTGATTTTTGTACACCAAAATAAGCCTTTCCAGAGGCAGTATGTGCAGCATCTTCTGTTACAGAGGGAGGCACGCCTTATCTTTGATTTGAAAACATATGAACCTTTTGGCTTGAACAGGGAGACTGATTTTTCAGCCTTTTTGTAAACAAAAAGAATATAATTAAATGTTCATTTTAGAAAAATAGAGCCCTTTAAATGGAACTAATTAAATTGGATACACCTGTTTCTCTCCCTGTTGAGCTTTAAATTGGCATGCTTCTTCGTCTGTATCTTTGAGAACCGATGATTAGCTTCTTACACTATGAACCTTGTGGTCTGTTGAAATTGCTGAAATCAGGGTGAGTGTATTTTTCAGGCATGTTTTTAAAACAATTCTGCTTTTCATATGTGTTTTTGTGGTTGGGCATTTTTGTAAATCTCTTCACAGTTCCACTTACCCAGCCGGCAAACTGAAGAAGTCAAGGAAACGTATCTTCCAAGTATCTAGAATGGGCATCTTTGCAAAGGTTGTTTGGAAAATGTTATGACTATGTGGACTCCTATCGAGTTACACTGACTACGTGGACTTTATGTCTTATCTTCAAAGGAGGAAATATTGCATCTTATGCCTTATGCAGGTCGAGAAGGAAGTACTTTTCTCCCTTTCTCACAATACAAGAACTCATGGGCACTCAATGAAATTGCTGAGTGGTCGGGTTAGAACAGATAAAAGGAAGTACTTCTTCACCCAAAGAGTGATTAGAACATGGAATTCACTGCCACAGGAGGTGGTGGTGGGTACAAGCATGGTCAGCTTCAAGAGGGAACTGGATAAACATATGGAGCAGAGGTCCATCAGTAGCTATTAGCCATAAGGTATAGCTAGGAACTCACAGGCTGGGGCAAGTGATGCACTGTATTCTTGGTGCTTGGGGGGGGGGGGAAACAGTGAGAGAGCTTCTAGTGTCCTGGCCCCACTGGTGGACCTCCTGATGGCACCTGGTATTTTTGGCCACTGTGTGACAGAGTGTTGGACTTGATGGGCCATTGGACTGATCCAACATTGGCTTCTCTTATGTTCTTATTATAGTTACAGTATGCATTAATGTTGTTGTTGTGACACCACCAACTTTATAATCATTTAATATATTATTCTGGCAATCTTTGATGGTGTTTTCTACTAGTGGAAATTGTATATTTGGGACTTTGAGCACAGGCTTGCCATGGGATCATCCACTAGGGGTAACTTCTTTGCAGCTTCTGGTACCAAGGAACAGAACTTAGAAATAAAAAGAATGGTCAGACTTTGTTCTGGCTGGTGCTTCCCATTCAGTTCTACCTGCACTTTTAAAGACTGCAGGGAAAGGGATCCCAGTGGGGGCACCCCCACCTTGGGAAGGCTCTGTCCAACCCATCTGGGAAATCTGGGTCTGGTTCTTCCTTTCCCTAGGTGTTCCTTATGCCTAGGGAGGCACTGCTAGACGGGGAATGCCATCTCTGTCTGACAGGTGACCTTGTTGGTGTCCTTCTGCTTTGGCTGGTCTGACTCATGGCCTCCTTGATTTCCCACCTCATTTCCTCCGTAATCCAGGCTAGGAGGCTGGCCTAGGCGTTAACCCCAGAGAGTTCTAGGGACTGGG